CAGCACATGGCAACCCTGGAGGTGGAAGGCTCTGTATCCAGGGTTCAACAAACAGAACTATTTGAATCAGAATTGGCCCAAAAAGAAATTGTTGCTGCATTTACCGCAGCCTGTCAGCTCTTCCTGGAGTGCTCTAGTTTTCCTGTCTATATTGCGGAAGGCAACCTGAAACCCTCAGCATCACAAGACGAGCAACTTAGTAAGTAGGCTTACTCTCTGACTGTAATATTGGAGTAAAATAATCATCATTTATATGCTAAATCCTTTATTCTATTGACACAGACAATGAGCAGGTGGGCCTCCCCATCTGGCTGCAGAACCTGATGGATGCCTGTTGCTTGGCCACAGACTTCTGCTTTCAGGGTGTTGCTATCTCGTTGCTCATGGATCTGGTGGGTCTCACACAATCGGTTGCAATGGTGGCAGCCGAAAGTGTGGCATCAGGGGGCAACTCTGAATCAACCCAACCCATGAGCCCCAGCCAGGGACGAGTGGCTGTGGTCATCAGACCTCCACTCACTCAGGGAATCCTCAAATACATTGCAGACAAGACCAATTTCTTTAAAGTAAGTTATAATTTTGCAAGCATTGTTTTAAGTTGAAAAGCATATTTTTCTAATTGATACCCTTTTTTCAGAGTGTGGCTTTGATTCTGTGGGAGCAGCTAAGTGAAGCAACACCTCAGCACCATCAACGCAGTGTGGAACTTTTCTATCAACTCCACAACCTGGTGCCATCCTCCAGTATCTGCGAGGATGTTATCAGCAAGCAGCTCATGCACCGGGATAAGGTCTGCACAAAATGTGCATTACTTTAATTAGATGTTTTCCCTGCTTTGTGGCAGACTGAATTTCTCACAAAATAAAGATTTTTAGAATTATCAAGCAAAGCAATGAAAGAGTTGGCTTAGGCATCTAATTATTATTAATAATATATTATTAATAAATCAATGAAACACCCTTTTTTTTAAAAGATCTGTATGTATGTATTAATGACAAACTTTAATTCCAGAGAATACGACTGGAGGCCCATGTGAAGTTTTCCATTCTCTGGCACTTAACAAGAGATTTGAATATGACTAAGTCATCTCCTTTTAATCGCACTTTTGACAGGTTTGTCTGCTAAATTGAAAACTTAATTTCAAACTTGCAAATTCAAATTGATTTCAAACAGATTTACTCACTTATTCTTGCCCTTTTCATTTTTAGGTCACTCTTCATTATGCTGGACAGTCTGTGTTATTGGGACCCCTGTACCAGTGCAGTGGGTCGCGCTTGGTTGAATCAAGTCCTTCAACGCCATGACATTGCCCGGGTTTTAGAGCCACTTTTGCTTCTTCTGCTTCACCCAAAGACCCACAGAGTGTCCATTCAGAGAGTCCAGGCCCAGCGCTATTGGGCAAGAGTGTTTCCTGCACCCTCTGAACAGGAGACCCCTGATACGTTTTACAACAGAGACTCTGGCTTCTCAGAGAGTAAGTGCAAATCTCTTGACAGTGGTCAAGTATTTATTAGCTTTAGAGAAAAATTTTAATATTGTCTTTTTTCATTTATTTTCTTGCCATTTAGATGTAAGTCATCTTAATGGGACAAGAATGACACAAGAGGAGCTGCAGTGCTTGGCATTAAATGATATGGAGCCATTTTGCCTTACAGTTAACCCACTGAGTGACAGTCTGTCTTTGTTAAGTCTGAGCAGTGAGAATTTGCAACTGGCTTGTGAATACCGACCCAGTGACCAGCAGGGGGAGCCACAGAGCTCCGAGTCGACTGCCTCACAGTCATCTACAGTGGAAAACGGCAGTTTTGAAGACCCTGAAGGCGCAAATCTCACTACATCAGAGCAGCAGACCGGCTCATCGGATTACATGTCAGACGATTCAATTGAAATGGCAGTGTCCGGTGTTATACAAGAGCTAATTGAAAGAGTTTTAAATTTAGTAGATGAGGGAGAAGGATCAAATGTGAATGAAAACTGGCCACAGACTGATACAGACAGTACTTCTTCAGATACTTCTACTGGAATCCAACTTGACCAAGGACCCCCACTTGGATCTAATCATCAAACTTTACCTGAAATGTTAGCTGAAGGCACACTGGAGTTTCTCTCAGTACCATCATCTGAGGTAACAACAGAAGACCAGCACAAAGAGGGAATAACTCGCCACAGCTCTTCCCCTTCAATTGTAACATTGCCAGACAGCTTAGATCCAGCCACTCCTGACCACAGTTTGCACGTGGATGACCCCCAAACACGCAAGCGTAGCCATAGTAGCACCCAGCTCAGCTTAAAAGGCAAGATTATGGAAAAACTAGCTGACAAATCTCCTGGTGCTAAACCCAAGATCAAAAAGTCAAAAAGGAAGGAAGAAGAGAGGCAGAAGAAAGCTGCCAATCAAAATGACAAGCTAAGACCTCCAAGTATTTTCTTTGGAGACAGTCTGGATTTGGAAAACTGGTACAGCTGCGGAGAAGGGGAGGTATCAGAGATTGAGAGTGACATGGGCTCTCCAAGTGGAGGATCGGTTGGGCCTGTGGGTGGTGGCACTGTCCCAGGGCGTAGAGCATCCTCTGCACCACCTCGCTTCAATATCCATCCTCTATACCAGCACGTTCTGCTATATTTACAGCTATACGACTCCTCTCGCACACTCCACGCACTGTCAGCTGTAGCTGCAATGTTAAGAGCAGCTCCTTCAGGGTTTGTAAGCGCCATCTCCACAACTAGCATCAACAACACCTACACTCCACAGCTCTCCCTGCTCCAGAATCTCCTTGCCCGTCACAGAGTTTCAGTAATGGGCAAAGATTTTTACTGCCCCATCCCACAAGACTCACACTCCCATTCATTTCGCAGTGCAATGTATTTGGAAATCATCATATCTTTGTGTCTTTATTTTCTGAGAAGTTACTATTCTGCGCATGTCACTGTTGGTTCACAGGACTTGGCTGGAAACAGAGCCATGCAGCTCACCAGTGTTGAGGTCTTGACCCTGCTTTTCAATGAGCTTGCTAAAGCCACCGGAGGATCCGCAAAGGGCTTTGCCAGTTTTATCAGTGATGTCCTTTCTAAATGCAAGGTTCAAAAGGTGGTGCTTCATTGTTTGCTCTCCACAATATTCAGTGCACAGAAATGGCACGAGCAGCGAGTTGCCGGAGTCAACGTGGCAACAGTGGAAGAAGGCTTGTCAGAAGACAGCATTATTAACCTTTCTGAGGACCAGATAGATAGTTGCAGTGCTGTCCAGTCTCAGCTGTTAAGATTACTGCAAAGCCTGGTCGTCCTTGAGCATAGGGTTATGGTGCCAGCCGAGGAGGGGGGAGAAGGTGGTCCTGCAGGGGGAGGGGCAGGAGGACCTGGGCCAGGCACTGGTTCTGGGGCAGGTTTTGAAATTCTCGGTGGAGAAGTGGAGCATGTGAATCCTCAGCAGCCAATGACATCGCTGCAGTACCTCCCTGGTCAGCCAATCACAGCACAAGGTTTGTTTCTGTGTGCGGTCATCAGGGCGCTCCATCAACATCACTCCTGTAAGATGCACCCCCAGTGGATTGGGCTCATCACAGCCACCCTGCCGTACATGGGGCGTGTTTTGAGGAGGGTGGTGGCTTCAGTCACTCTACAACTCTGTAGGAACCTAGACAACTTACTGCAGCAGTACCGCTATGAGACGGGAATTAGTGATAGCAGGTACAGTATTAAAATGCTATGTGATACACTGTATGCATGCTACAACTTTTACTCTTCTTCTTCAGTGCACATTTTTAATATCCTTCCTGATTCTGTCTAGAAGCATAAAAAGCTAAGAATACTATAGTTTAGATCAAGTAATTAAGAAATTCCTATAATTGGACACTAGGTGGCAATCTTGGCTGTAAAATACTGATCTTGACCTGTTGCATCCACTTCTGATTTTTGTGTGTGGCTTAAAGAGATTTTTCCCATTCGGTTTTTCTCTGAAGGCCCTCTTGGATGGCCCTATGTATTCCTCCTGATCTTATTCTAACTGTACTGGAAGGAGTGACTGCCATAATTCACTACTGTCTGCTGGACCCTACTTCCCAATACCACCAGGTGAGAGCACTATGATGCAAATTGTGAAAGCCTTACATGCAGTTAAATTGTGTGCTTCTGTATTTCCTTGAATAATTATACTTTTTTTTTTCCACAGTTACAAGTGAGTGTAGACCAGAAGCACTTGGCAGAGGCCCGTTCAGGAATCCTGTCCATCCTCCACACCATCATGTCATCAGTCACTCTGCTGTGGAGCCTGCTTCACCAGGCAGACAGCTCAGACAAGCCCGCTGCTGCTTCTGCCTGCTCAACGTCCAACATCAATCTGGGCTCCACAAAGGTACTACTGACCATGTGGTGCCAATTATGATGTATTTTGGGCATTTCAGGATATGTTTGGGTGAAAATAAAACTCATGGTTTTGTATACTCTTTTCTGTGTTTTCTATGAAGAACCTTCGGCAACAGATCCTTGAACTGCTGGGTCCAATTTCCATGAACCATGGGGCCCACTTTATGGCAGCAATAGCCTATGTGTGGAACGAACGTAAGCAAGTCAAGGGTCCTGTGAGAAATAAGGTAAAACACTTAAGCACTGCTTAACAATTCAATGACATGAAAATAATCTTCATAGGGTTATGTATGTGGTTTTATATGATTTAAAATGCTTTTCATGTAGGTTATCCCTGTAGCCAGTGAAGAACAGCTGCTCCTAGTTGAGTTGGTTCGCTCTGTGAGTGCCATGAGGACTGAAACTGTCATGCAAACTGTCAAAGAAGTTTTGAAACAGCCTCCTGCTATTGCAAAAGATAAGGTTTGTTTAATATGATTTACATATTTATGTCTCTCTCTCTCTCTCTCTCTCTCTCTCTCTCTCTCTCTCTCTCTCTCTCTCTCTCTCTCTCTCTCTCTCTCTCTCTCTCTCTCTCTCTCTCTCTCTCTCTCTCTCTCTCTCTCTCTCTCTCTCTCTCTCTCTGTCTCTGTCTCTATCTCTCTCTCTATATCTCTCTCTCTCTTTTTCTCTTCTCTTTCTCTTCTCTCTCTCTTCTCTCTTTCTCTTTTCTCTCTCTACTTTTATTTTACTAAATACTTTTATTGTTTTTGTAACCACAGAAACACCTTTCTTTGGAGGTCTGCATGTTGCAGTTTTTCTATGCTTACGTCCAGAGGTAAGTACACTAATTTTAGGGGAAAAAAAACATATACATGTAAAATGGTTCTGTCATGTTACCTGTTTTCTCCCAGGATTCCAGTTTCCAGCCTTGTGGACAGCTGGCCGTCTTTGCTGGCTCTGCTCAAGGACTCTGTACAGTTGGGCCTGCCCGCCCCAGGACAGTTCCTCATTCTAGGGTTGGTTTCATAATTTATGACAACCTCATGTCTCTTAAGACTATTTGTCAAGTGAATGTGTCAATAGGAATTAGACCTGATGACCCGTCTTTTTTGCCTACTCAGAGTTTTGAACGAGTTCATATTGAAGAACCCCAACCTTGAAAGCAAAAAGGACCAAAGGGAGCTGCAGGTATTATTCAGTTATTTAAGGTTTTATATTTGACAAGCACATTGTTTGCTTGTTTGTTTTTTAATTAAAGTTTACAGAGAAACATATTTATCTGTTTAGGATGTGACACATAAAATAGTTGAAGCCATTGGTACTGTTGCTGGTTCCTCTCTTGAACAAACAACCTGGCTGAGAAGAAACCTGGAGGTGAAGCCATCTCCTCAGATTGTTGTGGATGGAGCCAACCTGGAGACAGATGTAGAAGGTTAGACACGAATTGACATAGTTTCTGTAATACACGCATTACTACATTTTTTTGTAGACAAGTGAATGCCAGATACACTGAAGCTTTCTGTGTTCTTGTAGATTTAATGCTGACAGTGATGGAAGCCTCCAGCTTCACTCCGTCGGTGTACAGTGTTCATGCCCTCACTTTGTTGGCTGAGGTAAAACACACATACAAATAATGCCCTACATGCATATTGTTTCTGAGCAGACACCTGTTGTGCGACTATATTTACATTTCATCTGTTTTGTCATAAATGTCGCATCATCATTCAAGCACACTTGACTTAAACTGATAATTCTCTCCTTAAAAGAGCAGAGTAATTGAAAAAAAAAAACATGCTAAATGCTATCCTATTTATTTGCAGATTGTTAAAGAGCAGATTCACTTAACTCTTGCCACACTGCTGCCTACTTCACAGATTACTGGATTAGTTCATATGGCTGGACAAACACTGCACTGCACCATTTCATGCTAATGGACATGAGTTGCATGTATCTTTTATTTGTAGGTATTGGCTCATTTACTGGACATGGTTTTCTACAGTGATGAGAAAGAAAGGGTAATCCCACTGCTGGTTAATATTATGCACTACGTAGTACCCTACCTCCGAAACCACAGGTGGGAACAGAATATGTTTAGTGTTGCACTGGGTATGAGAGGAAATACTGTATTTATGACTTTGTGTGGTGTTCTGTAGTGCTCACAATGCCCCCAGCTACAGGGCTTGTATCCAGCTGTTGAGCAGCCTCAGTGGGTACCAGTACACCCGCCGGGCCTGGAAGAAAGAGGCTTTTGACCTTTTTATGGACCATACCTTCTTCCAGATGGATTCCTCCTGTGTCAGTCAGTGAGTAGACTTGGGACCAGTTGCACTGGTTACTTTTGTGTGCAAATTGAGGATGCATAAATCTGCATTTTCTTTATATCTTGCTCATAATTGATTAACTTTCTTTTCAGCTGGAGAGCAATTATTGACCACTTGATGACTCATGACAAAACTACATTTAGGGACCTCATGAGTAAGTTCCAGAAAACATATGTGATACTGGTCTGTTGTGTGAATGATGATTCATATTGTTAATCAAATATCATGGTATATGACTCTGAGCAGTGTGCCTTGTGTTTTCTCTGTAGCTCGTGTGGCTGTGGCTCAAAGCAGCTCCTTGAGTTTATTCACAAACCGTGATGCTGAGCTGGAACAAAGAGCCATGCTGCTCAAGCGTTTAGCCTTTACCATCTACAGCAGTGAAGTGGACCAGTATCAGAAATATCTGCCAGATATCCAAGGTTAATTATTTTGGTTTTCATTTGGTGGAAAACTAAATTATTGTTTAAATTTGATAACTGTGTATTGGCTTTAGTTACTGAGTTGATAACAATGCCAATGGCTTTAAACATTTTATCAGAGCTGAACAGAGAATAAATAATGATCTTCTTTTATTTGCTTTGAGAAACTGGTGAAGTGTGTCACCTGAGCTTGTATACCATATATATATTTTTTTATGTTTATATGATTGCAGAGCGTCTGGTGGAGAGCCTGCGTCTTCCTCAGGTACCAATCCTTCATGCTCAGGTGTTTTTGTTCTTCAGAGTGCTTCTACTGCGCATGTCCCCTCAACACCTCACCTCTCTCTGGCCCACAATGATCACTGAACTGGTAAGACTCATCATTGTCTTTTTATAGTTCATACACTTACAACCTCAGGAATAAATAAACAAAAATGGATATTATAATCATTGTAGGTTCAAGTCTTTCTTTTGATGGAACAAGAGCTAACTGCTGATGAAGATATATCAAGGTAAACCATTTTATCTTTATTTTTTTCATTAGGACAAAATGCTACCACTAGTACAAGTTCATTTCCTCTGCTGTTGTCTAGAACTTCTGGGCCCTCTGTGGCTGGACTGGAGACCACTTACTCTGGAGGAAATGGTTTCTCCACATCCTACAACAGTCAGCGCTGGCTCAATCTTTATTTGTCCGCATGCAAGCTCCTAGACCTAGCTCTGACTCTTCCTCCTGAGAGCCTCCCACAGTTTCAGATGTCAGTAAAAGATCCAAAAATATGTATTTGTTTTTTATATTCTGCTGTATTTGCTTTGATCATTTTTTTTTCTTCTTTTATAACAGGTATCGCTGGGCCTTCATCCCAGAGGCTTCAGATGATTCAGGATTAGAAGGAAGACGCCAGGGGACTCATCAGAGAGAGTTCAAACCTTATGTCGTTCGGTTGGCAAAACTTTTAAGAAAGAGAGCCAAGGTAATGTTCTGCTGGCTTCTCAAATAGTGCTATATTCATAAATCTATAAATCAAGTACAATAAGGACATTCCCTCTCCCAATTTCACGCTGCAACAGTTCTGTCTAATGAAGCCTTTGGGCCATAAAATTTTAAAACAATGATTATAATAAATGTAATAATAATATACAGTTTGTATCCACATCCAGTGCTGCAGTGAAATGAAAAGGAAGGACTAAAGTTCAACAATAACTGATACTTTATTTTTTCCATAGAAAAACCCAGAGGAGGACTGCTCCACTCGCACTTTGTCCTGGGAGCCTGGTCATCTAATGTTGACCCTTTATGTGATCCGGAGCCTTGAACAGCTACTGCCCTTTTTCAACTTGCTCAGTCAAGTTTTCAACAGCAAATGCAGCAGCAGAACAGGCCCTGCCTACAGCCACAACCTCTCGGACGCCTCATTCCCAGGAAACAAGGAAGGCCATAAGCTGGAGAGCCAGAAGGTCTTTTGGAGCAGAGCTAGACAGAACATTGAGGAGATGGTGGAGAAAGACTTTCTTGAGGGCCTTATCAAAACATAAATTGAAGTATACAGATCAATACTAGTGACAAACCTCAGTTTGTACATGAAAAACAAGGGATTATCAAGGGGAAATAGTTTGTACATGTTTTGTATTTATTATAATTTTAATTTTCAAAGCCATTGTATTTAATTTTAATTATCTGTAAATATGGGGCAGAGCTTTGAAGACTTAGATATTTCATGTACGTCCTTCAGGACAGTGTAAAGATGCTGTGCCATTCCATATCGATGTGACTTAATAAAGATTTCTATGAAGGGTTACACACTGCTTTAGAATATTTAATTTTACATGGTGTAAATGGTGCAATTATATCAGTATGGATCAGACATGCACTCTAGGATTCAAAACCAGTATAAATGAGAGGGGTTATTTGCTGTATTAACCACCTGGTATTATATTGCTATAGAGGACATTGCAGCACCATGGACAGAGGCAGCGGCTTGTAGTTCCATAATGCCTAAAACATGAGCCATAAAAGAGGGAAGTGAAGCTGTATGGTTTGTATGACCTTCATACTATGGCAGCAGTATGACAGCATCAAGCTAGGCTGAAGAGTAGCTTTTTATTTAACCCTTTACTGCTCAGGCGCACAGACCCCTCTATAGTTCTCGTCCATTCCCGATTCTCGCGATGAAATTGTACCACCGCGGTTGGCAGCATCGTGTCAGCTGACTCAGAAAAAAGGCGGAGTCAGATGAGAAATTTAAATAAATAAAAAATGAAATGAGCGACATGATTCGCTTCCACTGAAATCAACGCCATCCATCGACCCGGTTCGAAGCGAGCGTCACCGGGGGCACCGAGGCTGACGGCGGGCCGCAGAGAGAGGACGCATCTCGGGGGAGAGGGCGGTGGAAAGCGTCGGTTTGGATGGGGGAAGATAGGTCCTTATGTTCCTTAACACTCTTCATTGAAAAGCGAGGGGTCGCTGGAGAGGATAATCCGGAGGCAGGAGGAAGGAAAACAGGAGGAGGGGGAGCGGAACTGCCAGCATCATCGGAGCGCTACATATCTGAGGCTGGCCCACTGTAAATCACACAGTAAGACGCTACTCGATGAAATTAGAGGGAATATTGATGGATTGTTAGCGTAGAATATTTTATTTGTCACCAGGATATACTTACAATTACAAAGCCTTATGGGAAAAGACACTTACGCTTATTCCCTAAACGCATTTGAACTGAACCAGCTCCGGTATTGTTATGCAATTCACATAAATGTGCCTGGAAGTGCGTTGAAAGTGGGCTACTCCATATTCAACCAACCTCTTTTCTTGCTGGTGCTATCTGTGTGTGTGTTATCTTTGAAGACAGCTGGGATTACGGAGGCTCGTTTTGGTCTTGGGGGGGTAGGACCAGATCGGACTCTTGACTGACCGTCGGGCTTGGACTCAGCCGAGAGAAGATGTCGGGTCAAACGCTGACGGACCGCATCGCCGCGGCGCAGTACACCCTCACCGGGTCTGAGGTGTGCAAGGCGGTGTGTAAAGCCACGACACACGAACAGACCCCCCCAAAGAAGAAGCACCTGGAATGTGAGTAACCTGCCATCTGTCTATTTGCTTACTGACAAGCCCCTTTCCTTTCACATACCACCAGGCCACACTGTATTGATGCTGTATCTTCCATGTAGGCTTCTTTGCTCAGCTTGACCAAGTTCACACGCACACGTCAACTGCACGTTTTTATCCAGACGTTCACAAACCACTAAACAAAGATTATGTAATTACACCAGTCAGTTCTCTTATCTCACTGTGATGCAAATGATGCCATAAAATCCCACAGCATTCTCAGGCCCGTCTGTCCCATGCTGCTGCTGATGGCCATGTATTATTGATAGCACTGGTAAAAGTAGGGTTAGTGCCAACCTGCTGAACAAGATACAAACACATTTCACATCAGCAATATGTTAATATTTTGGGTAAAAAATATATATATATATGAAGAGATATTCTGTAAATAAGGTAAATCAAAACTGACAACACTAGGCCTGTTCACAGTAGGCTATGAGACAACACTCTTGATATGTGCCTGGCACATATTTAATTCAGGTCATTGTTAGGGTTAAGGTTTAATCAGTATCAGCACATTGCCTAGAATCATCATATTTCCTGAACATACATGACTAGATTAGTCTAGAACTGCTAATAGATTTTTCACAGTGATGAACTTTGCTATTGACTGTCTATTGACTGAATCTTATACCTTGTTTCGATTGTCTAGTGTCTACTCACACAGCTGACTTAAGAAGTGATAATGAAGTAGGTTTAAAGAACTGCTGAAAGAACAAAATATTTGTAATAGTTTTGTCTTTCTAAAAATGAAACAGTTGCTGGAAAAATGTGTGGGTTGTTTGCAAATTGCAAGAATTGGCCAGCGACTTTAATTTTACATCACCATTAGAGTGCACTAAAGCTGATAAAGTTAAATGCATTGGAAGTGTCCATTCACTTATTGTCATAATAACACTGAATGATGGAGTGGGTAGACCATGACTTAACAAAATAGTTTGCCAAAAGTCTGAGTCAGTAGTTTTCAGTATCATTGAAGCTTTTTACTGAAGTGACACTGCCACATCACATCTGAAATGAAAAGGAGCTATGTGTAATAGGCTGGTCTCTTTTGTGGCTTTAAAATACTGTGTTATGGAGAGCTCCCACATCAGATAACTATTAAATGGTCTGCTGCACTGCAGAACTTGTTCTGTTGAGATAGAAGCAGAAACAGGCTCTTCATGCTGTGATAAATTGACTGAATCAAGGAATATATTATTTGAACATGAAAGGTCCTAGAAATACTGTACTCGACTGAGCACTTGATGATGGGGGATAGTGAGCATCATATAGCGTAGTCTATGAAGGAGTGAAATGCAATGTCAGAGTACTAATACAACCAACAAAGCAGAGTGCTTTCACTCTGTTTTGGATTTGATACTTGATACTATAGATGTCTTGTGATGTTAGTGTGGATAACTGGGTTATAATCCATATATAAACACCTTCAACTCCTGGAATAGACAGGCAAGGCTGCCATTTTAATGCTGAAAAGCTAGTAATTAAAATAAATAATGACACATCAGGCAGGAATATATTGTATTTATTTTCTTACTCAATTTCCACTTGGTAGGTTCAACAGCCAACTCAATAGGGTGCATGATTTTGCCTGTATTTTTATCTATGGGTGTTAGTTGCTCTTGGCAGAGCTCCAGCACAAAGGCTGGAATGGCATATTGAATGGAGAGTGCTCCTGTTCAGAGCAGGGTGGGATTGAGGAGGTGCAGCTGTGAGTCAGCTCCCTGCCTGGGTACCACTTCTCAAGGCACGAATACTTCAGACAAAGCAAGCTATCACAACGCAGATCAGAAGAGACTGGCACAAATCGTAAATGGTTTTATTGCTCACCATCGTCTAAATAATATCTGACTGCAGACATCTGTGACTTCTTTTCACTTATGTATCTACAATAGCAGACAAATACTATTCAACATCTGTGAGTTATCTTCATCTTAGCTGTCTTATTCAGCTCCTCAGTTACAGGCAACACATTAAAAATCAACCTTTGCACCATTTATCCTCTCAAGTGCCTCATGGGTCAGGTAAGCTCAACAGTCAAAGCCCACCATAGTAAATCCAATACATTTTTACCATATACTTTCCAAACATAGAATATTAAAAGTTTAAAGTTATGATAGAGGCTAACCAGCTATGTTGTAACTAACGTCAATAATGCAGATGTTTTCAGTCCAAGTGCATTTAATTTAAAAACTGTGTGAAATGTTTGAATTATTTTGTGGCTGATAATGTTTCATTTACAGATTTTACAGCAATTATATTTTGTGTACTTACTTCTACTTCTGTATATTGTATATATTGGCAACATAATGCCAGTGTAATGATTACACTTTTTTCTCACATAAAACCATTTGATGCAGACTCTTATTGCATTGGTTACTTACATTTCTTCGAGAGAAATACAGCAGCTTATAGCCTGTGATCAAGTGAATAGCTGTTTTTGTGCAACACAGTGCAGTGTTATACACAAGGCCATTTTGTTGTTGTTGTTTTTTTTCTAACCCAAAGCGACCACAATGAGCAATGAAGCTTTCTGCCTTCGAACTGTGAGGGCTACACTTGAAAGCAGGATTTTAGGTTTTTTTTAGTGTCTGCCTAAAGCTTGAATGGTACATGCAGGCATGACAGATACCAAGTGTAACAAGGTCTTACTTTGGCTAAATGATGATGACTGTATCTCTAGACACAACTCTCCTAATAGCACTTCACCTAAAGATATTGTTTTACTTTAGACTTGAGACATTGTTGATTCTCTTTTAATAAGCTTGAATAATACTGGAAGTTATATTCTGCTGCACTCTACTCTGAATTCCCTCCAAATCCTTGTTTTCAGAAAAATCTGCCTGGTAGTTGCGCAGGAAAAACAGTCACCAGCTCCTCTCATGTTGCTAAATCTGTCTTTTCCAATTAACAGCTGTTTTCACACTAGTGTCATTGTACTTCGCTCCAAATGATGCAAGATACAGCCCTTTAATATCATGTACCACCAAGGCAAATACAGTCTTTCTAAATCAAGTTCAATCCTTATTAAACTAAAACTCAAGCAGACAACGAAATATAGAATTAAACCTATTAAACCTTCTTATTTACCCTCTCAAAGTTGTATTTGGAGTGATTCGTACATGTTTGAGCAATCTCTAATCGCTTATTTTCAACACACCATATTACATTCAACTCCTGTTTTCACTGCCACCAGCATATACCCATTACTCTGTATATACAGTCCCTGACAAAAGTCTTGTCGCTTATCCATTTTGTAGAAACAAAAGCTTATAACTTGACTTTAAATTAATCGATTGGTTTTAGAAATGTCTCATATGAAAGCTAAAATCCTTCCAAATTATGCTCAATATACTAAAATAAATTTGCTTCACTGAAAAAAGATTGATCATTTAATGAACACAGAAAGGTCAGATTTTGGCAAGACAAAAGTCTTGTTGCCTTGTCATATGATGCACCCAATCCTAGATTACAGTCTCACCTGTGATCAGTTACTGATCAATCAATTAGTGGGTGTGTATAAAAAGAACTCCAGCACATCAGACCTTCACATCAACTGCAACTTGACCTCTGACAACATGTCTAAGATCCATCCTGAGACCAAAGCATTAATTATCAAGAGGTTGAAGACCAGATCCACTGCTGAGGTGGCTGACACCTTCAATGTGTCTCAGCGTCAAGTACAAAGAGTAAGAAAAAGATCTGAAATGACTGGAGATGTTTTTGACAAGCCCAGGTCCGGCAGACCCCGCAAGACAACTGCTCGGGAGGACCGTTTGTTGATTCGAAAATCCAAGGCCAGCCCCTTTTCCACTGCAGCAGAGCTCCACCAGGCCTGGTCACCTCAAGTCCCTGTGTCAACCAGAACAGTTTGTAGAATTCTGTCTGGAAATGGCCTCCATGGTCGAATCAGTGCACAGAAACCAGCACTAAACAAAAGGCAATTAAAAAACGTGTGGCATTTGCCAAGGCCCACAGCCTGCTAAAAGGATGGACACTGGAAAAGTGGCAGAAGGTGGATTTCTCAGATGAATCCTCAGTTGAATTACATCACAGCTGCCACAAATATTGCAGGAGACCTACCGGAGCCCGCATGGATCCAAGATTCACCCAAAAAACAGTTAAGTTTGGTGGCGGAAAAATCATGGCCTGGGGTTCCATCCAGTATGGGGGTGTGCGAGACATTTGCAGGGTGGAAGGCAATATCAATAGCCTAAAATATCAAGACATATTAGCTACCTCTTACATTCCCAACCATAAAAGGGGTCAAATTTTGCAGCAGGATGGTGCTCCATCGCATAATTCTATCTCAACATCAAAGTTTCTCAAGGCGAAGAAGATCAAGGTGCTCCAGGACTGGCCAGCCCAGTCACCAGACATGAACATCATTGAGCATGTCTGGGGTAGAATGAAAGAGGAATCATGGAAGGCAAAACCAAAGAATCTTGATGAACTCTGGGAGGCATGTAAGACGCTTTCTTTGCTATTCCTGATGACTTCATCAACAAATTGTATGAATCATTGTGGAACCACATGGATACAGTCCTTCAAGCTCATGGAGTCATACAAGATATTAAATATGGATCTCACAGCACCACTACTTAATTCACTGACGTTATGCAACATATTTTTGTATTTGAAGTAAATTATTTGTTCAATTTTCTGTAGGCGACAAAACTTTTGTCTTGCCAAAATCTGACCTTTCTGTGTTCATTAAATGATCAATCTTTTTTCAGTGAAGCAAATTTATTTTAGTTTATTTAGCATAATTTGGGAGGGTTTTAGCTTTCATATGAGACATTTCTAAAACCAATCGATTAATTTAAAGTCAAGTTATGAGCTTTTGTTTCTACAAAATGGATAAGCGACAAGACTTTTGTCAGGGACTGTACTTTGTTCTTCAATTTCAGTAACTTAATCTGATGGTGATGCACATAGAATTTGGCAGTGTTACATAGCCATTT